TCTCTCTCTCTCTCTCTCTCTCTCTCTCTCTCTCTCTCTCTCTCTCTCAACTATGATAACGCTCTTGTGCCTTTAGAAGGTTTTGAATAATACAACAACTCACTAGATTACCTCATTCATCAAAAAGAAGTAAAAAAACGTGTAAAGTGTTTGTAAATAAGAAGGTCACAAGTCGTTTGTGGGGCAGCGTGGTGAAATCAGGCGCTTGTCAAAATAACGATATTGAAGAAACTGGTTTGGCAGTTTTTATCAAAGTTTTGTGTTTTGGCTCTCCACCTTTTGTGTCCACTTAGGAACACATGTCTGTGTATATTTTTACTGAAAAACATTGATTAAAGGCACAAAAAATGTAAATTTTTCAGCCGTTTTGAATTTTTTGGTCAAATTGTTTTTTTTTTGTGCTCAACACCTTGTATGTCCTTTCAAAAACACTTTTACGTGTGGATTTTATTGAGCAAAAAACATTGATTAAAGGCACACACAAAATGTAAAGTTGCCAAGGACTCCTAAGCAAACAAACTTAGGTGACCATTTTGTCACTAATTTTACTTCTGAAACCAGGCGACCCCACTTCCTTCAATGGCTAATATCTTGAATTCTATTCAAGATAAATGGATATACTTTACATCGAAAGCAAGGCAAACGAACAACCTTTAAATTGATACCAATAACTCTATATTTTACTTATTTTACTTTTACTTTTTCATCCTCTGTTGCCATTAAGCATCGAGGGGAGATGCAGTTTTCTATGGTAGGCCAGCTCCACAGCTTTTTCAGTTGTAATGTTTTGTTTTCTTAGGGTTTGCTTTACAACCTCGATCTATATGCCTAAAAAATAACAAGGGCTTAATTCCATGGGGTTGTGACTCATTTCTGCCTTTTCCTTACTTGTGTGTCCCAGGAGGAAGAGTGGTCCAAGGACGTCATCTCTGCAGAGTCTAAAGCTTTTCTGGGAGGTCGGACTGCTCTACAGATAGCATGCGCTCGAGATGACAACTACAAGGTACAGTTTTTGTATTCCTTTTCACGTTTTACTTTCTTTGTATGCACTTCTTTTGTCATTCGGTCTTTCCTTTCTTATATCATTATCTTTATATTCACTTCTTTTGTCACTCGGTTTTTCCTTTCCTATTTTAATTTCCTTTCATTCACTTCTTTTTGTCTTTCCATCTTTCCTTTCCTATTCGTCCTTTCCTTAGCACTCACTTCCTTTGACATTTTTGGACAAATGTTGGCTTCGTTATGTAGTTACAGCTTCATTACATTTAATACAGACTTCAGACCAGATTAAATAAGATTTTTCCCCACCAGATTTAACAAACATCTAGATTGTTTTATAGAGTTCTCATATCATCTCATACATAATGTGACTTGACATTTCCACAAAGGGGATGACTGATGACATGCTGAAGCTGGCAGATCAGAGTTCCCTCTGTCTGTCTGTCTGTCTGTCTGTCTGTCTGTCTGTCTGTCTGTCTGTCTGTCTCTGTCTGTCACTCTCTAACTCTCTCTATACCTATCCCTATCTTTCTCTCTCTCTCTCTCTCTCTCTCTTTCTCTCTCTATCACTATCTATCTCTCTCTATCCATCTCTCTCTACCTCTCCCTGTCTCTCTCTCTCTCTCTCTCTCTCTCTCTCTCTCTGTCTTTCTCTCTCTATCACTCTCTATCTCTCTCTATCCATCTCTCTATACCTCTCCCTGTCTTTCCAGTGCTGGGTGTTGAACAGGCATTTCAGGGCAAGTCTCTCCAGAATGTCCTCTGAAATGTTGCAGTATCTTGACTATTTCCAGTTTCAAAACGTGTTTCCCATTTTGATTCGTTGCGTTTGGCTTGCTTCTACTTGTTTTTGCTTTCAATCTCTGTGGTAGCATTGGTAGAACATTGACTGAAATTTGCCGCTTGAGAATTTCCTTGTGGTGAAACAGTGGAAATCACCCAGATGCCTTTTGTTTCTTTGCTTAGATACATTAGCTAGGTCAGTTGTGACAACTCTATCAATTTGATTCTTTTGTTTGTTCGTAGCATGCCTGCAAGGTGGTGCGGCTGCTCTTAGAACACAAAGCCGATGCAAGTCTTATGTGCAATGGATTCTCCCCCCTGGCATTGGCCATTACAAGTGGAAATGATTTGGTAAGTACCTGCAGTTTGAATGTATCTGTGACTTGATCTTAGCCATGCGGCATGTCCGTCTTACTACACGTCTTTGATGAGTGACCCAGTTGAAAGAAGTGTCTCCTTATTTAACAGCAATTTTTTAAACGTGTTTTAACTCTTTAAACCCTGAGTTTTTTTCCTCCGTTTCCCAGAAATTTGTCTACAGTCACCTAAACCTGGTGCATTATATCTCCTTATAACCCCAAACGCTTGCCTCTAACTTCTAGTATCTAAATGGCGGAAACAAAGGCTTAGTCATTTCTAAAAAACTTCCTTGGTTCGGGAATAGTTAGGAAAAACAAACTAAAACTAGCACTAAATACAGCGAAACAGTTGTCACCAGTTTGGACGCTCCCAGCGTTGGATGGGGTATAAAGAGTTAAAGCTTTATTCAGTTGTTCCAATGATATAATTCTATGACGAGTTGAAAATAGTTTACTGTATTCTAATGACTCTCTTCTCTTGAATCGATAGCAACCCAGACACAACCTCTGTCAAATGAAAAGAATGAGGTAAACCAAGCAAATGATGGATATTCTCCTTTCCTTGCAGTAGATTTATCTTTGGTGTTGTTCTGTGTTGGCAGTGATTAAAATGCATTTTTAGAAAAAGTAAAAAAAGCCAAACAAACAGATGAATACATATTTTTTTCCTTTGAAGTTATGATAATGACAATAACAATAACAACAATAATAATAATAATAATAATAATAATAATAAAGATGATATAATAGTAATAATAATGATAGTAGTAAAGATAATCATAATAATAATAATAATGAGAGTAATAATAATAATAATAATAATAATAATAATAATAATAATAACGATAATATTAATAATAATAATAGTTCATCCTTCAATGTCTGACAATGACTTGAAGTACTTGATATTTCTCTACATAAGGAGTGAGTGGAATGGGTTTTTTTTTTCTGAAAAAGGAAATATAGCCAAGCAAACTTATGAAGAATTATTATTTTTTACCACGGGTATAATTTGTCTCTGTAGGCAGTGGATGAATTGCTTTTGTTTGGGGCTGACCCAAGCCTCACCCTGACCCATGGGGTGGGCAGCGCCCTGTGTGTGGCCACCAGCACAGAGTATGAACACAGGAGAACCATCCAAGGAAGAATGCAGCTCGTAAGTACATGCTTGCTATCGTTTTTTGTCATGACGCGGCAGAATCAGGCGCTCTTCAATTTTGGGGCATATGGAGTTGTTGGTAGAATCTTAAAGCTTGTTTATTTTGTCTTTCTTTCGGGTAAAAAATACCGGTCTATCTTGAATAAAAGTCGAGATATTTGCGATTGAAGGAGGTAGGGGTAACCTGTTTTCGGTGGTAACATTTGCGAGAAATTGGCTGCCAAAGTTTGGTAACTTTTATAGGTTCAGAGTCCTTGAAAACTGAGACGTACATATTTTGTGCCAGTAATCAACGTTTTTCAGTAAAATTCATGTAGAAATGTATTTTTATATGGACATAATAGGTACTGAGCCAAAGAACAAAAACTCGACAAAAATTGCCAAAATATAGGAAAAATGCCTGTTTCTTCGATTTCATTATTTTGACGAGCGCCTGATTTCACCGCGATGCCTCACATCTTAGTTTTATCCATCACCTGAACCCTGATGTAATGGGGGTACAGGGTGGGCGGATGTGGAGATGATGTCCTGTTAGCTCTCTATTACATGATTTTATATTGAGGTTGAAGTCAGTAAATACCCAGTACATTATTTTCTCATGTTTTGGGAAACTGTTAGGTTTTCGTTAGGGGTCTTCAGTGCTGTCTATTGTTCCTTTTGTTATTTTGATACTGAGTGAACTGCATCTTGTGAGGTTGACAAAACAATTGAATTTTCATCATTTTGAGTTAGCAAGCACATTTATGTAGCTGGAGAGGGTTAATTGTGTATTGTTGTTTTTTTAGTTTTAATTTCTCTATGTGTTTTGACAAGTGACAGTTAAAGATCATATTGAACTGAACTTTTCATGTACGTTTCTTTATGGTGAAGACCATTTTGCAATCATTTAGTGAACGGTTAGCACTTTAATAATACTGTGGGTGGTTGGCATGCGCTCTGGTGTGGTTTGGTCCTTCTTTCCTACCAAACATCTATCGTCCTTATCCCTCCTCCTTTTTTTTTCTGTGTGTTACCCTCTATTAACCCCTCTGATCTTCAGCAATGATATGATTAATTGTGTTTCAAGTGCTGTAAAGCTCTTATTAAAACTATGTATAATAATACCAAGATATGTACATCGTAAATGCTGGTGTAGAACGGAAACGAATGCGACTACACACCAGTAGATTCCTCAAATAGCAAGGGTCCACTTTCCTTTTTTTATTTATTCTGTCTTCCGATGTTCTTCAATGTCTCATCAAAAGCTACGTCAGTGGTGTAGTGGTGAAGAGCTCCACCATTTCGCCCACAAAACTTGTGTTATTTGTCATTTGGGTAGGTATTTTTAATCACGCTCTTTGTCAGTCTGTTGGCACATTGGTACCCCCTTGATCCAGGTTGACCCTTGTAGACATGATCAAAGCTGCCCAATTCTTAAATGATCTAAATAATAATAATAATAATAGATAGCATTTGTATAGCGCATATCCCCGCTCAACAGCAGGCTCTATGCGCTTTACACTATATTATTACCCCAGCAGACCATAGAACACTCCGAAACATTCTCAGCTTCCCGGGAAGCATACAGTGCAAGCAGCCGATTAAGCGCTCAAACACTAACAAACTGACAAGATCTTTCGCTGTCTATAGCTGGGTACCTATTCCCACCTGGGTGAAGTGAGGAAAATTCGTGTAAAGTGCCTTTCCCAAGGACACAACGTCGGGCCCTTGACGGGATTCGAACCCACGACCTTACGGTTGCGAGTCCGAGAGCCTAACCACTAGGCCACCGACGCCACTAAATACCGTCGATGGGGCCCTAAAACATATACAATTGCATATTTACTGTCTCCTGTCATTTCTATTTCTCCGTAGGTCGATAAATTAATCAGAGCAGGTGCTAATGTCCTGGCTCCAATCCAAATTGGAGCAAAGAGGGTCACAGGCACAGCTGTGGATTATGCTTACTACATGTTCAACCAGGTATGAGTTCACTCGTGAGAGTGTCTTGTTTTATCTGGTGTCTTTGTGATTTTCCTTTTAATGATAATTGTCTGAACTCACTGAGGATCAGCCTTGATATCATTTTGCCAAGCGTCAGAACTGGACGTTAATTACACCTTGTTTTGGAAACCCAAGCTCGTTTTGTGCAGAGGTGAAGATATTGCTCATCTTATTTGCAGTGTAGGCTTACTTAATGCTAAGCACAGTTGTACCAGCATTTCATTTGTGAGTTCTTGGTGTTTCATTCTGACTTGAGGAAAAAGTTTTGGTCAGTACTTCTTACACATCTAGCTCTTTTTTTTCTGTTTGGTTTTTCAAAAACATTAACTAATGATCCCGCAGAGTTTCTTGAAAATGAATGCAAATTTTCACTTTCCAGTAGCATTCTAACTGGGAAAAATTGATTTTTAAAAATGTGATATATAAAGAATATAGCTTGTTTTATAAACTGAGACATTTTTGGCTTGGTCCCTAGTGAGTTAGAGAATTGCATACATCTCTTCTATTTAAAGTGTGCAGCAGGCATTCAAGGCTTTCTGTTTCAATCATTTTTTTAACCGTGGTTCCTCTTCCTTTAGTTCAGGCTTTGTTACCACCCAGTTTTTGGAAAACAAAAAAATAAGTCTCCAACTTTTCCTTGTTTTTTTTGGTAAAAAAGAGAAATTTTGACTTAAAGAAACTACTGTACTACCAAAATTAGGGTTTGAAAAAATATTTTTTTGTGTAGATAGAAAGTATGTTGCTGTGAAGTGTACGAAACCCTAATAAGTGATCATTTTGAAACAGAATCTGTGCTTTGTTTTGAATGTGTCTCCCTCATCTCCTGTGACAATTTCATTTGTAATGCTTTATTCTCTCATACTACATAAGACAGGATCTCAAAGGGAACAATATTACAGTGACTACTTATTTGCCTGCAAATTTGGAAAAAAATATTGCAATGTCACTTGTGACATTTATAGAACGATAATGCTGAGATAGCTTTCCCTAAACATGTACGTTTCTGCACTTCTCTGTCAGAATAGTTCTCAGAAAGTTCTCTGCAAAAGGTAGATTTGCATGTAAATAATACTGACCCTTTCTCAGATTTATGTTTTATTTTTCTATCCAACGCATTTGTTTTTACAGCACAATTTGAACATGTTTCTTCTTTGGAGCATATTAAGGAAATCAAGATCGAAAAGGGGGGGGAGTAGTACTTGGGCAATCTACTTCTTCTGTGTCTACCGTCCTGACAACACTGCATTATGCATTCTGTCAAGACAAAAAAAGGCTGTAGATTTTAATACTTTAAAAACAAACAAAATATGGGAAAAACAGACTGACTTAGCATACGACTGGGCTATGTGGTTAGAGTTGGAATCTATTTACCAGTATAGAGTGTTTAGAAAGTTTTTGAGGCTGTCTATCCTTCACTTCACAACAATTACCCATTTTGTATTGATAGGAGCACACAGTTCAGTTCTCTGTCTTGTTGTCAAACTGTTTCAATTTATCAATAGTTGTCTTATGCCATGAGTATTAAGATGCAAAATTCTCACTTTGTGTTGTTTTGAGATTTGGTGTAATGATCAAAATCACATGGCCCCTTCACTGTTCTTGTCACATTTTATATAAATATATGTGTGTGTATACCTTCTTTGTTCTCTGTCATGGCTTCTTTATGATTTTTTTTGGAGTATTTTCCAAAAACGATAAAGTATAAACGACTAGAATATTATTGATGGATGAAACTTTATCTGCTTTAGGAAAAAAATCACATTTCTTTGGTCTTTGCCAGACACCAAAGCTCATTCAAGATAATTTTTATTCGGACAAATACATCTGTTGTATTTTTGAAAGGACATGTGCATTGCTATGTTTACTAGACTTTGATACCATGCAGTGAGGCTTTGAAATAATTTGTGAGATTTCTTAAAGGTAATTTATTTTTGTGTGTGTATAACACTGTCACTTTTTTGTTCAAAGAATGCCATCTGGAGATATCTTTAGTAGTGTACATTTTCAATTGGAATTTGGTTTTCACATGGTAAAATTGCTTGTTCGGCTTATTACACTCTTTAAATTTTACATGTGATTGTTTTGCGCATGCCAATATTTCACCTTTTGTAGGACCGACGAATTGCTCACATGCCTTATCACGCCCTCACGCATGCCGAACGGGAAACGTATAACGCCCGGCGCAAGCTGCTGGCTCACATTGGTGATATAATGCGGAACAAAGCGGTGGAGAGGGAGAAGAGGAAGAACTTTAATGATGAAAAAGAGGGAGTAAGAAGTGAGTGTACAAGATATATGCTCGAAAGCACTGTGTGAGTCTTGTTATGTAAGCACAGTAATATCATACACTTTTCAGTCCTTGGATACATAAACTTCACATCTTCATTTACCTCCTTCAACTTTTCTCACGCAGAATCTATTGAACTTTTTGAAAAAAAGATATAAAATAAATGTAGTCTAACTCAGTGTGCTCATTTGTCCATAATGCTGGATTGTTATAATTGTAGAATTTGTGACGACAGTGACAGCCAGGGTGTTAATTTTTTTGCGAACTAATTTTAGTTTCTATTTTGTCATTTGATCCTGGGAAAATTACTTATTCTTGCTTTTTATGACATTTTGAGCCCTGCCCCCCCCCCCCCCCCCCCGAATCTGTTGGGAAACATCTTTGAGCTCCTGAAAGATAGGTCCTAGATTTATTCCCCATACAGGAGCGTCAATAGCTCAGTTTGTTTCAAGATGAACTAGAATGCAGATGGCTCTGGTCCAAAGCCTCAATGGGGTGTGCTTGTACTTGGCCTGTGTAGGGAGTTTCCAGGGATCTCCACCCACTTAGATGCCCTCTCTGCTTTACTCTTGCGTGTCCTTTCGGAGATGGATGTCAAATTTGGAGGCCCCGCCTTTTAAATGACCTTAAGGTCTCCCTGGCGGCGGTATACTCACACCATACCTTGTGTCCATGGGAAAAGCACTTCACACAAATTTCCTTCACTTCACGCAGGTGGGAATGAGTATACACTTGCCTATGGAGAGTGAAAGATCTTGTCAGTTTGTTAGTGTTTGAGTGCTTAATCCGCTGCCTGCACTGAAAGCTTCCTGGAAAGTAAAGAATGTTTCTGAGTGTTCTAGGGTCAGTTGGGGTAATAATAGTTGTACAGTGCATACAGCATGCTGCGGAGCATGGATATGCACTATAAATGCAATTGTTACATGAATGGCCGGTGCCTCTATAAATAAATCATTGATGGTCGAGGTCAAATGCAATTGTTATTATTATAATCTATTATTGTAAGGGTCACTGTGAAATGTTATAAAGAGCTGTGTGGGTAAGAGTAACCGCTGGCTATAGTGTATTAGGCAACAATGGGGTAATATTTGAGAAGTAAGCGGAACTGGTATAATCTTACATGGTCCATTCCAGCTGGACAACTGGGAACATGTCTTTGAACTGTTTATTCAAAGTTTTAATTAAGCTGTAGCTTGTTGCCACTGTGTTTCTGTGATATGATATTTTACATAAATTTGGTTTCTCAAGCTTGATCTAAACGACATTAATGATTCTTTCAGATATCAGATTGTGCAGTGCTTTGCTGTGTGAACGAGTGTGTTTGAAAAACCCAGTGTTGCTATGTATATCTATGTATATCTGCTCTTGCTATCCTATGTAACAGATGTGTGTGGTGTGTGTCAGTGTTTTTCTATCTCAAAATCAAATATAACCTTCACATAGAAAAAAGATGTCATTATTTCTGGCTACAGAAGTTATGAATTTCCTTATATATATCAGTTATCATCTCAAGATATAGAATCTAGACCTGTAATGTGATGTAGTAGTGCCCTCTTTAGTAATCTACTTATGCTATTTTATGCATATCCCCGCCAAGTCTCTCGCAGTGCCTCTTAGCTGTGTCACCTGTGGACGTTCTTTGTTAAAATTTGGTATTTTTTGCGTTCAAAACTGTCAATGTTCTCTGTAGAAAAAATATGAACAGAAGATATTGTGCTCAGGCCTTAGATTTAATTTACTTTGAGTTTCTTTTCTGATTTTCAAAGGGTATGATAATAATTGTGCTTCTAGCTGGGAAGAGGCAATATTTATATTTTTCTTCATATTACATTTTCAATATTTGCATTATTATTGGAGGGTGTTTCTTTTAAACAATCCGAAGAAAAACTGTAGGCCTATTGTGCACAAAAGAAGACGATTATTAAACTATTATGTCCATACTTATTGTTATGTGTCTAAGCGAGCTCTTTAACTCCTGTTTTGTCTTAATAATGAAGGCCAGAGTCCCAGCGCCAACTTTGTTTACATCGGTGCCGGTGCTAAGCTTCCTCCGGGGGTCAAGTCAAAAGCGGGTGCAAAGGCAGGTCAAGGTCAGGTCAAATTTGAATCCCCTGGGAACGAAGAGGAAGAGCTGAAAATGGCTATGGAGCCAGCCAGGGCACCATCGCCCACGAGGTTTGTTGTAGTCTTTGTATTGCTGTCCTTGTCATTTTATGCGAACAAAGTTATGAAATTATGCAAACTGATCCCAAAAATGTGAAATTATGCGATTCTGTTAATTTTAACAAAGAATGATGAAGGAAAATATTCAGAAATTATGCAAAAAAATGATCAAATTTTGCTGAATTATGCGGGGTGCATAAAACCACAGGGACAGGTATTGTTGGTTCTTCAGTTTCCTTTGTGCTCGGGGTGGGTGGAGGGTGCTACCTGTAGATCTGACATCTTTTTCTCTTTTTCTGCTGTTTCTGTCTGTCTGTTTTAAAAAATTTGTTTTCTCCATGCACCAGATGTTCATTATTGTTTGCAGGTAGCTGGGAGGTATTGCAACAGTGGTAGGTTCTACTTCTTTTTTGTTCCCTATACTGTTTCTGTCTGTCTGCCTTAACTCTTTCCCTGCATTTAAATAACCAACATTGTGTCAAAACACCTTTCTGTACTCAAACTCAAACTTATTCATTCATGCTATTATTAGTTCTGTTTTTTTTTACGCTGTAAGTGATGAGGATGTTTTTACCAACAGTAGGTATTTCTTCATCTGAAGTTCTGGCTCATGGACTGTTGCAATGGCTCCTATTTGTCTTTCACTTTTTTCTGTGTATAGCTTCTATGTCTTTTTGTTCTCTCGAGAAATGTCTCACAGTTCTCTCTTATAGCTGCTCAGTTGCTGGTGTTCTTCACGTTTACATGAGTACGAGTACTTCTTCTGCACTTTCCCAAAATGACGTTATTGTCAAATAGTATGCACTAGCTCTGCACTATGGTGCAAAGTCAACTTCATAGAGGAATCGAATATTGTGCCTCAACTGTGTCATATCTGTGACAGATAGGATGAAGTAGCTTAAGAGGTGATATTGATTCACATGATTAAAGTCTGAGATACTGTGAGCAAAGTATAGGTTGTGACATAGTGATGTACATTGTAGGAACATTTTTGTCAACGTCATCCCACAAGCGTCTAATTAAGTCATCAAAAAAAAGCTTTTTGAAAATTAATTTTCAAGAAAAAACAAAGACAGCAATAAGAAAACCGACCAAAAATACAGTCAAAAGTCTGCTCTAAACACCACCTGTCTAAGACTCACTTGAACATAATCTGTCCCTGTCGTTTTATGCAAGAAAAATTTTCTGAAATTATGCAAACTGAGCCCAAAAATGTGAAATTATGCGATTCTGTTAATTTTAACCAAGAATGATTAGGAAAATAATCAGAAATTATGCGAAAAACGATCAAATTTTGCTAAATTATGCAGGGTGCATAAAACCTCGGGGACAGCATAATGACGTCTTCCTACTTCTCCCCTTGCATTTTTTCCCCTCATATGGCACTGTCTAAGAGGACTGCCTGTCTTAGAGGACGACTGTCCTCCTTTTTTTTACTTTTCTCCTTGACAGTCGGTGGTTGTCTTGAACAGGTGTGACTGTATATTTTAAGAGGCTCAAAGATGTCTTTTTTGAATAACAAAATTTTGTGCTGACTCACAAAAATTCACTTGAGCGATTGTGGAATGACACTGACATTATAAACCATTGTTCTAAGATGAGAGGGTCATTTGGAGCCCCAGAGTTATGCTGCTGTAAGCTGACTAAAGGTCTTTTTTTCATTTTGGTGTCAAAATTTTTTATTTGCTAAATCGAAAGTTTGATCATTTACCCTACTTGTGTGAAAAAATCAAAGTGAAACTCTGACTAGTTTTTGAATAAATTCGAATTCAAATTGAGAAAAAACGCTATTTCTCAATGGTTATGCAGACAAAAAAACAACTCTTTTTCTCGAGACTGCTGTGAATTTTAAAAAAGGCGTTTTGTCAGCTTACGGCAGAACGGCTTTATTGGGAAGGAGAATTCCTTCATTCCACTGTCCTCACTCCTCAGAAAACCCATGTTTAAGTACTGCTATGAATGTGGCCGGTCTGTTGGTGTTCGCCTAGCTGCCTGCACCCGGTGCAAGGAGGTCTACTACTGCAGCAAGACCTGCAAACTCAAAGCCTGGAACGCCAGACACAGAGAAGAATGTATTCGCATTGGAGGTATAAAGTTATAGATATTTCACGCTCTCATGATTTTAGAAATTATCTCTCCTTTTTTTTGGTTCTATTTAGATAGTGTAAGTCTTATTATGCTGCATGCTACGTATAAAAAAGTAGGAAAGAAGGGCTGGTATGAATCATGTCAGCTGCCAAAGTGTACAGATAGGCTTTTTGAACATTTCAGTGTTTATATCCAGACAGCTCAAAAGCTTGCTCATCCTCAAATCTTTTTAGTTTCATATGACTGATTGATGTAATTGAAATGAGATATCTGTTTGAATAGCTTGTTCAAATGAATGAAAAAGAGTAGAAAATTGTTACTTGATTTTTAATCAAACTCTTGCAGTGCCAGTTACAACAACTGCTTTTCTGTTTTCACTTGTCCGGTTTTGATGACCACAAAGCCTGAGAATCACTTCTCTTAGTTTCTACAGTTTTGCGTCTTGTGTAACTTTAATTATCCTCCTAACGAGTGTCCGTGAAGTAACATTCAGGTACTTTGCTGTCGCTTGCAGAGGACATGAATTTAAGTATGGGCAAGTTATTTTCATCAAATATTTCTTTCTGTCTGCTGACCTATCTCAGTCCAGGTTGGCCCTGACAGACAGGGTGAAAGCAGTCAGCTTCCTAGATATCTAAATTGTGTCAGTGGGGATGTAAAACATCAATGGCTGCATTCTAATCACAATGACCCACCAGTAGGTTCTTGATGAACATAGCTGTTGCCCTGTTCAACTTCTTAGCACTTGGAAGTTGTTATGGTGCCGATAGATTGGGAAAACCTGCGCTCGAACTAAAGTAGTTTGCCAAAGAAAAAAGCATCTGTGCCTGCCTTGACGAGCTTTGCAGTACTGTTTATGATGTGTACATCATTATTTAAAAATGTTAAAAGTTAGAGTATATCCATGCCCACCACCTCCCTTGTCTCTCTCTCTTTCTCACTCTCTCTTTCTCTCTATATATCTCCTCTTTCTTTCTATCTTTCTTCCTCTCCCCCCCCTCTCTCTCTCTCTCTCTCTCTCTCTCTCTCTTTCTCACTCTCTCTTTCTCTCTATATATCTCCTCTTTCTTTCTATCTTTCTTCCTCTCCCCCCCCCTCTCTCTCTCTCTCTCTCTCTCTCTCTCTCTCTCTCTCTCTCGCTTTCCCTCCCTTCCTCTCTTTCTGTGCATAAAACAAAGTTGTCTTTCCTTCTTTAAAGGTATTTATTTTCATTACCACAGGTCGTTCTCGGAGCCCCAGTCCCAAGCACAGAGCCAGCAGTCCTACAGCTGCAACGGTCGCTGACAGGGGAAAGAGGACAGCTGTTAAAATCCATGTAAGTTCTTCAGTCACTCTGCCACCTTAGTAAAGCTGATAAAAGAAAGAATCCTTTTTTGGCTTAAACTTTCCTATCTGTATTTTAAGTTTGTTGTGTTGAGTCATGAAAGAATTATGTGTGCTGTTGCTCATTTTCAGCACACAAAGTTCTTGACATAAGAATAAATTCAAATGATTTTCAACCAGTTTTACCACAGAGAGAGGACCTTTGTTTTTGATAAAGGGTATCCCTAATGGATTGTAAATGGGTATTACCTGTATTACCTATTGCAACTTGTTCCTTCAATTTTTTTCAATGTTTTTTTTCTTCATAATAGGTTCCTGACAAAATATGGCAGGTGCATTTGTTTTGATGTCTGTTATTTTCACCTTCTCTGTGAATGAAGAGACTAATAATGATAATGATGTCAATGTATCTGCAGAGGAGAATATTTCTTTCAGAAAAATAGAAGAAATGAAGATTAAGATGACTTGTGGCTTCCGCTTTGACCTTTGACACCAATTTTGACAGAAGCTTCATTTCCACTTGTGGATGTGTGCGGCTTATGGGTTTTTCTCTTGGCTTTAGCATTTCTAATTCATGAAGCCTCATATGATTTGCTGTCCTCTGTGACTGCTTCTCTCCAACTGGATCTGTCAGGAGCTTGGCTCTCTCGTGCCAGGGTGTTAGTGTTCTGAATGAAGAGACTACTGGATTCTAATATGGCTGTTAATGTAAGGCGGAGGGTATATTCTCACAAATTTTTATGTGGTATTATAGACCAGATACATCTTGGAAGTATCTGTGGTGGTTTTGTTGGGGTTTGGGTAGGTGAGGAACATCGGATGAACCATAAGTTGGATGAGTGCTTGCCTCTCATGCTTAAGTCCCTGGTTCAATTTGCGGTCTATCCAGAATTGCAGTTTATGATTCTGACATGGTTTTCAAAACCAGGTCCCAGGGATAGGTAGGATCTGATGTTTTGTCTGATCAGATATGGACTGAGAATTCCAGGGTCCTTTGTACTTGAAAAGTCACCTTGGTTGTTAACAGTTGGGAAAGAAACAGGCCTTCTTGTCTGCTATTCGTTTAAAGCAAGCTTTGAATGTAATCTATCCCCAAAACTGAAGAACTCCAGTCAATTACTAAAGGTATTAAACCTTGGAAAATATGTAATCTGGCTGCATGAAAGCCAAGGGATTCTTCTCTTTGGTGTGGAAAATGAGCTGCATTTATAATGTTAGTAATACAGGGAAATGAAAAACCTAGAACTGTGTACCCTTGGAATGTGGTGGAAGAATGCAGATGAAGATGGTAAAGGTGAAGAAGAAGAAGAAGAAGAAAAAGAAGAAGAAGAAGAAGAAGAAGAAGAAGAAGAAGAAGAAGAAGAAGAAGAAAGCCGTATTTCTTGGTTAAATCCTGAAAGTCATTCTGAGAAATGATATATTGATATTAGCATTAAAAAAGAGATATCAATAATCTCTTTGCATGGAGCTGTTTATTAATATTCTAGAGATAGACTACAGTGTAAAACAGGTGATTTTCATTGGGATTCTGCAGGATCATACCGAAACTAAAATCAACGTAAAATAGGTCTGTTCATCAGGTTTGAATGTTATTGTCAATTTGTGTTACTGCTCACCTCACAAGCAACTCTGCATTAAAATCACAAAGCATGTAGCACCTGCTTCGAATCACAAAGTAGATTTGCAAATTCAGAAAATACATTTCTTGAAAAAGAACAGCACTGATGTCTTTCTTTTAAGTTTTTTTTGGTTTTTTTTTGGGGGGGGGGAAGAGGGAGGTATTTTTAAGATAGTTGTAATGGTTGGAAAAGAAAGGAGGGATAAAATGTGCCTTTAGAGTGTGGCCATTTTTGTAAAGCACGTAATATGGTACTCCATGTTTCTGTCTGTCATGATTGATGCTTTTGAGGTAGTGAAAGTCTGTAGAAGTAGGGGGATGTCAATTGCTGTTGCAAGAAAAGTGAATAGCTCCAGTATTTTTACCATCTCTTGAAAGCAGGCTCAAATGGCATTGCTCTTTCTTTATTTTGATGCTGACAATATATTTCAAGTCCTTGTTTTCCCAGCCTATCTTTTGGCTGTTATTTTAAGACCAAATGTTTGCAAATAACCGGTACATCGAAAGGTCAGTTCCCATCTTTCAGTCAATATAGATTTTGTCTTCTGTTATATGATAAGTGCTGTGTGGAGTAGAATATTCTCATGTCTTGTTTACAGTGGAACTTTAATGAACACGCACTATAAATTGACATATGGTCTTTTAAACAGCAAGTAACCTTATGTTTAAAACTTAAGCTATGGATGCTGATAACTAAGTTACCACAGTAATCCGCGGTTAAAAAATGCTTAATTCCCTTTGTTCTTTTATACGTGTAAGGAAAAAAAAAATAAAATGGAGTAACTGGGCTTTCTCATGATTGTGAAATATTGTGTTTTATATGGGGGTTTATGTTCTTTGATTTGAAATTATCTCAAGAGTAGGCAGACTAACAGTAAAAGAAGGAGTGCTGATTTGTTGAGGAAAATTGAATATGGCTGCTGCTTTCTTTCAGAACTTCAGTTTCTTGCAAAAAACGGTAATTTGAGTCCTTTTGTTCTTGATGATTGTTTGTAGTGCCGTTGGATTAGCGCCAAACTGCGTTCTGCCGTCTTGGCGTTGAGACAAGGGCTGACTCAACAAGTCTAATAATGAGTTCTTTAATTTTTTTCAACTGAACAATCATTCATATGTTTATATATTATGTCACTTTTTCACTTCCGTATAGTGATCACATTGGTCTAGACTACATTTGATAAGACTAATCTGTTATGCTTTAAAGTCTCAGTGGTCGTTACATTTAGACTAATTCAACATGACAGGTTCAAATTGCTAGATTCTTGATGTCTGTTGTTGTTTTTTTTATGACAAGGTAGTTGATGGAATGGAAACATTGCTCTATGAAAAACTTGTTCAATAGAAAGTAGAATGATTTTTATCTTTTTCTGTATTTTTCTTTCATTGTCCATTTATTCGATGCACTGATACGTTGTGACATTTTAGTAATGAGGTATAATGTAGCTATTAGTCAAAACTAACTAATCTTGAAAAGAAAAACCTTTTGATCTCTAAAAATCTGTTCTACAGTATTCTAGTATCACTGCCTTTGTTTTCTACTGTAAAAAGGATGGGGGAATGAATAGCAAGTTTTTTTTACTCTAAGCTAAAAAAGAGGTAAGGGAGAAGA